CTCCCAGGAAAAAAAAAAAAGGCACCCTACAGTATGGGAGAATATATTTGTAAATGACATATCAGACAAGCAGTTAACATCCAAAATATATAAAAAATTCACAAGCCTCAAGACCCAAAAAGCAAATAACCCTATTAAAAAATGGACAGAGGATATGAACAGACACTTCTACATAGAAGAAATTCAGATGGCCAACAGGCACATGAAAAGATGCTCCACATCGCTAATTATCAGGGAAGTGCAAATCAAAACCACAATAAGATATCACCTCACTCTAGTTAGGATGGCCAACATAGAAAAAACTAGGAACAACAAATGCTGGTGAGGATGTGGGGAAAGGGGGAACCCTCCTACACTGCTGGTGGGAATGTAAACTAGTTCAACCATTGTGGAAAGCAATATGGAGGTTCCTTAAAAAACTAAAAATAGAAATACCGTTTGACCTGAGAATTCCACTTCTAGGAATTTACCCAAAGAAAACAACTTCTCAGGTTCAAAAAGACATATGCACCCCTATGTTTATTGCTACACTATTTACAATAGCCAAGATATGGAAGCAACCTAAGTGCCCATCAGTAGGTGAATGGATAAAGAACAGGTGGTACATATACCCAATGGAATACTATTCAGCCATAAGAAAGAAACAAATCCTACTATTTGCAACAACATGGATGGAGCTAGAGGGTATTATGTTCAGTGAAATAATCCAGGCAGAGAAAGGCAAGTACCAAATGATTTCCCTCATTTGTGGAGTATAACAATGAAGCAAAACTGAAGGAACGAAACAGCAGCAGTCTCACAGACTCCAAGAAGGGACTAGTGGTTACCAAAGGGGAGGAGTGGGATAGGGCGGGTGGGGAGGGAGGTAGAAGGGGATTGTGGGGTATCATGATTGGTGCATATGGTGTGTGTGGGGTCAAGGGGAAGACAGTGTAGCTCAGAGAAGACAAGTAGGGACTCTGTGGCGTCTTACTACACTGATGGACAGTGACTGCAATAGGGTATGGGTGGGACTCGATAAGGGTGAATGTAATAACCACCTTGTTCTTCTTGTGAAATCTTCATAAGAATATGTATCAATAATACCTTAAAAAATAAATAAGTAAATAAAAAGCAAAAAAAAAAAAGAATATAGTCCCTGGTTTCAAAATACTTCAAAAGTCTAGAAGGGAGAATAGACATTTGAGACTGGTATGTCAAATCCTCTCTCGTAAACTTTCTAACACACCAGCCTCAACAAAGGATCCTCCTCTGAGGTTCTTCATCTGGAACTGATGCATGCCTCTCCCTAGCTGCTCCTCAGGGTGGGCTTGGGCCGCGCTCGGAGCCGCCCTCAGACAGGAAGGAGCTGGCTGGGCGGCCGGGCCCAGGCAAGACCCGGGAAGGACTGACGCCCGGACCCAAATCCACCGCGGGGCCCAGTACCTCGGCACCACCCTTAGTCATTGGCGAGGAGCAGCCTGTGCAAAGCGTGATCTCCACAAACACAGCAGTGGATTTCTAAGGCAGCAGCTGATGCCTTTGATCAGTTACCCTGTTAGACTTGAAAGTCTGCAAGGGGCTTTCTAAGCACAGTTTGTCACTCTCAGAATTTAATAGGGTCTTCTCTTCAGGGAATAATGTCATAGTCCCCCATGTCTGGAGTTCTAGACATATTTTTCAATAAATGCTACTCCAGATATTAAGGATATTATCTTTAAGAATAACATTCAGAATATACTCCAGAATAAGGATATTATCTGAGTTGAGAATGGTACAGTAGGTGAAATGAGTTATAATGGATCTTATAACCAAAGACACACACACACACGTTCACATACCGAGTTTTAAGCCAAAGAAGACATAATCAAATATATTTTTACAAGGATAATTCTAACAGTGTATACGATGGCCTGGAACTTAGAGACAGGAAACCTAATTTGGAATATGTGGGAAAGAAGACCTGTGGAGAAGCTACCCTTTATATTGAAATACAGGGTGTCTATTGGACATCAGAATCCAGCACCTGGGACACCAGGTTTAAACGTTTCTGGGTTTACTCTGAGGAGCAGTTGAGAGGAGTGAAAGTGGTTTAGTGGGACTAGAACATGGGCAGGTGACTCTTTTCCGATTGGTTCTAACTTGTCCTGAACCACCCATTGGTAAACTGAGCTCCCATCCCTCAACCTGCATCACAGCAGTGAACGGAGGGTTGGGGGAATAAAAGGGAAACGGGAGAACTTGCTTGTCCGTTTCCGGTTTGGTACCAGCACTGTGTTTTCCGCTCTTGCGCGCTAATTCAGAAAATTCCCATTCCACTGCACAAAGCTGAAGACGCAGGCCAGCCAACTAAAGACCAGGGCGCTCCTATCCCGGACTATAGGAATCAACAGCAAGTAAGTGACGATGAGTATGAGTAAAGAGGGACAGACCCTCTCGGAATGTAAAGGTTTGAAAAGATGTGAAAGGACTTGAAGATAGACTAACCTTAACTTTAGGTAGGTCAAGGCCATTGTTTGTGTGCCCACAGTACCCCAATCCCAGCACAGTGCCTGCCACATAGTATGCTCTCAACAAATACTTATTAAGAGAGACTGGCTGGCTGACAGACTGACTGACTGACTGCAAGACGCAGGTTAAAGCTTCTGTAATGTTTCAAGGCGGGAAGACTGGGTAGCCCAGCGAGGAAGTGTCATGCTTAGCATAAAATTCACAACGAAGATTCAAACCTCTACCTAAGGACCCAAGCGAAGCTCTCCCCAGGCGCCTGCAGGCCGGCAACCCTGCCCCTGAGAGGAGTCTGAGGTGGACCCTGGGCGGCGCCCGCGGGGAGCCTTCCCGCGCAGCCGCGCCGGCCTGACGGGGGCGCTTTCCGCGTCGCAAGCGCGCGAGGAGAGGCGGGAGGGCCAGGTAATGGGGTCTTTGCCTTCCCAAAGAAGGGGGGATATCCGCGCTTCTCCATTCCTCGCGGCAGGAGAAGGGCTGAGGTTGAAGGGGGTGTGAGGAGGGCAGCTCCGGGCGGAGGGCCGCGCCTCACAGGGTGGGCTTGGGCCGCGCTCGGAGCCGCCCTCAGGCAGGAAGGAGCTGGCTGGGCGGCCGGGCCGGGGCAGGACCCGGGAAGGACTGACGCCTGGACCCAAATCCACCGCGGGGCCCAGTACCTCGTCACGCGTTTCTGAGGACCGGAGAGGCGACGCCGCGTCTCCCGCGCCGGGGGGCCGGGCCGCCAACCCGTGAGGCTGAGCAGGCGCCCTGCCTCGGCCCACGACGCTTTGGGGGGGTCCCACGAAAATGTCCCAACTTCTTGTAAAGTCAGGAGAAAACAGTGAACCCCTAGGGTCAACGACAATGTTTTTATTTTTCTTACATCAGAAGAAAATTGAAATTTTTAGAGACCACGGAAATCCGTAATTCGTGTTTTTGGTTTGGGTGTTATTTTTAATACGGAAGGGACCCACGAAGGCAAAAATGCTTATGATCCACGTAATTTTGAATACGGCCCTACCGGAGGGAGAACCATTTATCTTTTACCACACACACAAGTATCCTAAGGACTGTAAAACAAGATCTAGGCGCTTTTATAAGGGCATGTAAAAGGGTCCTAAGCCTTTTAAAACCTAAAGTCGGTTTGAAACTTAAGGGGTTAAGGAGAGAAACACTCGTTAAAGAATTTAAAGTAGTGGGAGCCACAGCAAAAGACCCACGCATTTGTGGACCTGAAAGGCACCAGGAAAGGGGAAGGGTGGGAGGGGGTTGGGCAGGGGCGGCATGGCATGAGGATGCAGACTTGGGAAGGAGGTACATGCAGAACTTCTGAGCCAGGTAAGGGTTTTGGATTTTGTTCTAAGTGTAATTGGAAGCCGTTGAAGGGTTTTTAGTAAGGGAGTAACTTGATAGTGTTTGGTGGTTCAAGGCCCAGTTCCAGGTTAACCAGTTTTCAGGTACACACTATTAAGTGGGTATCTTGGCAAAAGTGGAGAGTACATACAGAATCAAAAATAGATCCTGCTAAGTATTATATAAGCCCAGTTCATCAGATGCATTAATTGGTATTGTTTGAGGATATAGGAAAGAGAGCTTCCTCAGAATTGCACACGAGTGTGGGATCTAAAAATGTGCAAACTGAAACCAAAGTGATCTTAAAAATCAATGGAAAAAAAGTACATTTGTTCTGAGACTTCTCAAAATACTGTCAAAATATTAAAAGCTCTCACTGTCGTTTTAAGTGTACAGGGAAGTGAAAAACAGTAAAACTAATACCTATTTAGCACACTGTAATTTAAAACATTAGAAACATTAAAAATCAAAGTTTTTTATTTCTTTGCAAAAAACTTAGCAAGAATACTTTGAGCAACATTTGGTGCCTTTCTTCTTCTCATGACATAACGTATGATACAGCAAGCATCTTTTCTATGCCTTAGCAAATTGTCATACTCCTTTCAAAGTTTGAAGCAACTTCCAACATTTTTTTTTTGAGAGGGCATCTCTCATATTTATTGATCAAATGGTTGTTAACAGCAATAAAATTCTGTATAGGGGGGTCAATGCTCAATGCACAATCATTAATCCATCTCAAGCCTAGTTCTCGTCAGTCTCCAATCTTCTGAAGCATAACGAACAAGTTCTTACATGGTGAACAAATTCTTACATAGTGAATAAGTTCTTACATGGTGAACAGTACAAGGGCAGTCATCACAGAAACTTTTGGTTCTGATCACGCATTATGAACTATAAACAATCAGGTCAAATATGAATATTCGTTTGATTTTTATACTTGATTTATATGTGGATCCCACATTTTTCCCTTTATTATTATTATTATTTTTATTTTTAATAAACTGCTGAAGTGGTAGGTAGATGCAAGATAAAGGTAGAAAACATAGTTTAGTGTTGTAAGAAGGCAATTGTAGATGATCAGGTGTGTGCCTGTAGACTATGTGTTAATCCAAGCTAGACAAGGGCAATAAAACATCCACGGATGCAGAAGATTTCTCTCAAAACAGGGGGGGTGAGGTTCTAAGCCTCACCACTGTTGATCCCCAATTTCTCACCTGATGGCCCCCCTGTGACTGTGCCTGTCTTAGGTTGTTCCTCCCTTGAGGAATCTTACCCGTCTCTGGCTAACCAGTCATCTTCCGGGGCCATACAGGGAAATGTAAAGTTGGTAAGTGAGAGAGAAGCCATATTGTTTGAAAAGGTTAGCTTTTTACTTCTTTGCAGATTTATGCCCTGTGGCTTCTATGCCCAGCACTTGTCTCGAGGTATCTTTACCACCTGGAGGAATTATGATACTCGGTAAATTCGATATGAGGCACGAATTCTATTTAAGGTTTGTAATTAGGAAGGAAGAAGAAAAGCTATAGATGTAGCATATGAAGGAAACTTGGGAGGATTGATTATTTCTTTGACATATCTTCTTGTATAGTACCTTAAGTATGTATAGGTTTTAAACTACTAACTAATTTGCACACACATATTAACATAATAGGAATACGGTGACATAAACAAAGCAAATCTATAATTACCAGCCATCTCCAGTGAAGCCAAGAAAACCATTTAGGCACCCTAGGCATTTGTGAAAATTTATCTATGATATGATGGATATTTTCCAACTGTACTTGAACCATCAGACAAATTAAAGCAGCCCATTTCTGGGATCTGTTCACATCCCATATGTTCTTTTAACCATAGATAGTCTATAGTCATGAGATTTTGGGGTGCTACAACTTGCACCCCTCCCAACTCCTGGTTGAGTTCCAACAGTACAGATCCAGTCAAATTCGTTGTCTCACTGTATGCACATGCCAGCCTAGACATCTCCCTCCTCCTTCTTATGGCAAGTCCAGGAGACGGTGGGCTGGATGCAGCCACAACCGCAGCATCGTCCGGATCCCTGTGGAGGCTTTTTGATGATCATCCCCCGGCACGAGTCCTCCAGAGAGTGCTGATGCCGGAAGCTCCTCCTCATATCGTATCTTAGTTCATTTTCTGGGTATCCAAGCTAGGCCTTGATCTTCTGCGTAGAAACAAACAGACCCTTTGCCCACACTTTGACATGCCCTCTATACCACTGTGCAGAACTCATTGGAGGTCAGCACACAGTAACTGCTTTTTTTTTTTTTTTTTTTAAGAGAAAGGAATATTATCAGAAAAGAGTACCTCCATAGCTGATCATCTGACACCCTTTAAGTGATCAACATTAAGGATATTTAAAGCATGTGTTAATCTTTGATTTACCAATTGTTTTATCCTTTCAAGGAGTAATCTCTCTTTTCTTTCTTTCTTTTTTTTTTTAATCTTTAATCTACACTTACATGAAGAATACTATGTTTACTATGCTCTCCCCTATATCAGGTCCCCCCTAACAACTTCCAACATTTTATCCTTTGCACTTTTAATTTTGTAAAATACTTCTAAGAGTTCCTTTAAAATGAAGTTTTTTGCCAGTGGCACTTTCTCCATGACATCTTCATACTTTCAGTCACAACTGTTTTCATCATTTATATTGATAGGTGCACCTTCACTATGTTCCTCTCTCTAGTGTCTTTCAAATGCAGCACTGTCAACATTCCTACAGTTGGCTGTTACTTCTGTAACTCCAGTTATGTTCAATTCAACTTTCACTTTGAGCATTACTACTTATCATTTCTTTGCTATACTTTCATCTTTGTTGGCCAATTCCCTCTTTCAATAACCCATTTTTTGTAAACTGTAACATGGGTTTATCACTATTTGACAAGAAGGTAAAACAACTACACACTTTGCTGTCTGTGCTTAAACTAAATAAAGAATCTACAGTGACCAGAACTACACTTTGAAAGAAGCCACATAATTGATCTCTGACCATGATGTGCATCTGTTATTTATTTAGTAAGTAGTGGACTGAAGAGCTAGCTATGATTTGTACTTTATGCAATTAACAGTTAATATTCCATGTAACTAAAATTTAAGCTGTGTCGATGGGGGACTGGTGTTAATAAACTAACTGTAGTAACTGAGATTTGTGTATACTGGAACCATGCAAACTTAGAATGCCCATGCTCTAAAATGACAAGAGTTTCAGATGTGATGGAAAATGAAGAGGGGCAAATAGAAGCTAATTCTACATTAACAAGGCCTCTGGGTGCCTGTGTATCTGTATGAATCTGTATGTCACTCAAATTCAAGTTTACTTTGGTTTCACGCACTTAATTTTAAAGTACAGACAGAAAATTATGATATGTGCTTTCTTGGTAAATACCCTAGTCATTTATTTCTGGTTCATTACTTTCAACAGATTAGCATATTCATTCAGATGTATCAGCACATAATTGGGGCTCAATAAAAAAAATGGTTGAAGGAACAAATGCTGATTTCCACTACCCAAAAAGGAAAGATTGAAGGGAAATAACTTCATAGGTTCATTTTGAGAAACACATTTATTAATGCACTCTTAGATCTCTAAAGACCCTAAATTCCAAAGTGTTTCCAAGAATTATAAATATGTTTCCCACAGATACAGAGGAAATCAAAGAAGCTTTTATTTTCCCTGCATTCTTTAGCTGAAAAATAATTACATGGAGTCATTTTAGTTCCTAGAGTTGGAGACATGTTTTTCTTAATCTAAAATTTTTTTCTTTCATGGTTGTCCTAATGTTCTTTCTGAAATACTTTTATTAAGTATAGCATATATAGAGAAAATTTCAAAAAATTTAAGCATGGTTTAATAATTTTAAAGTGAGCAACCACATAACCACAATGAAGGTCAAAAAATAAAGCATTACCAAGACCCCAAAACCTCCCCTTTTATCCTGTCTAATCATAATGCTCTCCTACTTTTTAGAGAAACTATCCTAATTTTTGTGGTAATTATTTCTTTGCTTTTTCAAAATAGTTTTACCAATATGTTCACATCCCTAAACAGTGTACTTCAGCTTATTTTTTTTAATCTATGTAGATGGAATCATACTATTTGTATAGTATGTGTGTCTTGTTTCTTTTACTATTACGTTTCTTAGAATCATCCATGTTGTTTCATGTAATTCTAGTTGATTCATTTTCATTGCTGTATGTGTGAATATACCAGAATCTATCCATTCCAGTGTTGATTAACATTTGTGCTGTTTGTAGTTTTGGGTAATTATGAACAAGACTGTTATGAACTGTCTTTTTGCTGCTATGATCTGACTTTGATCCTGTATCATGGTGCATGTCATTATTCACAGATTATACAATTGTGAACAAAAATCCAAAAGGATCTACAAATAAATTATTATAATTATGTAAGCGAGCATAGCAATGTTGTTAAATACAAAATCAATATACAAGGATCATTTTTATTTCTATACATTAGCAACAAGTTAAAAATGGAATGTGTCATGTAAATGAACAGGAAAAATATAACATCTCTAAGAATTAAAATTTAACAAAAGGTGAAGATAACTTTTGGGGAAAATTATAAAACTAGAATCTTTAAAATATTCTATATGTACAATCATATCATCTACAAACAATGATATTACTTCCACAACAATGCCTTTAATTTATTTGTCTTGCCTTATTGCTACCTTCACTATAGTGTTGAATAGTTACATAGTTGAGTAGTTGTATGGAAAGCTTTCAACATAAGCATTAAGAATAGCATTTGGTCTAAATTTTTATAACATTTTATGAGGTTATTTCTATCACCTATTCCTAGTTTATTAATATTCTTTACTAATGCATGAACATTGAGTTTAACAAAGGCTTTTTCTGTATCTGTTGAGATAATCAGATAATTTTTCTTTTTTAATTTTTTAATGTGATTAATTGCAGTGATTTTCTAATGTACATCACCTTATGTTCTTAAGATAAACCCAACTTGATCATGGTGTGTCACTCTTTTCTATATATTGCTGTTTTAAATTTGCTTATATTTTGTTTAGGACTTTTACATCTAGTTCATAGAAGAGATTGTCCTATAACTTTTTTTCTTAATAATACTCTTATCTAATTTTCTTATCAAATGTTATGCTAACCTAGAAAAATAAATTGAGCAGTGTTCCCTCTCCTATCCTCTGAAATAATTTGTTTAAGGTTGAAATTCTTGGTCTTTGAGAGTTTGACAACACACACAAGTGGAAACAGCTGGTCCTGTAGTTTATTTTGTGGGAAGAAATTTGACTACCAATTAAATTTCTTCAACAGTTGTAGATTGTTTAGGTTTTTAAATTTTCTTTTTGATTTATTATTGGATAGATATATTTTTCTAGAAATTTGTCCATTTTACCAAACTTACTGGCATAAAGTTGTTCATTATATCCTCTTATAACTCTTTCCATATTTGAACATTTGTAACAATGTCCCTTTCTCATTCCTGATATTGGTTTTACATTCTCATTTGTTCTCCCTTCCCAATCTGAGCCCTGGAGTTAAGTTCAAGTAGCCAGTAAAGAAAGAAGGCTAAGGTATTATTGAAGGCAGAGAAAAAAACAGCATGAGCAAATGCACTGAAGTGAATCATATATTTGGTTTTCTTTCAGTAAAAAGCTTGATGGGAAGAAGAGCCTCCAATAATGATGAAAGTCAAGTCATGAAGCATCTTGCATGGATCTTGAAGGGGAAAATGTGGTTATACTCTCATTTTTAAGAGTTGCTTAGTAATTAACAAATAAGCACTTGTGCCGATTACTGATAAATAAAGTTGACAAGACAGGTTCTCTACCCTTGGGAAGCTCACAATATAGTGAGAGAGGCAGTCATAGAAACAAATCATAATATAGTGCAATAAATGCTAATAAACAAAGTTTATGAGGGCAGATAGCTGACTTTAAGAATGAAATTTGACTTTCATGTAGCTTTTTGTTTAGATACATTCAGCATCTCTAAGAATTCTCCATCTTACATTTCAGGCAAACATCTAGATCCCTTGGAAGCTGTTTAGATGGGTCGGCCTAGAGAAGCTTGAGTCAGTACCCAGTCTGACTTCTTTCTGGACTTAGTCCTCTAGACCTGTGTTCACTGTTTCAACAGAGCATATAATTCAGTATCATGAAAGCCAGTGATTTCTCTTTCCTTCCCTGTAGGTGGAGAGAATATCCAGGTAATAGCTGCAATTCCACCTCTGGTCTGGCTGCCATGAATCATGGGAGAACTACTGGTAAAGGTCCCTCCACTCCCATGCAGATTTACCAGCAACCTCCAAGGCTTCTCATTGTGCACATCACTCTACCATCCTGGGCTAACATCTGCTCCAACCTCTGTGAGGCTCTCCAGAACTTTTTCTCTCTAGCCTGCAGCTTAATGGGTCCCAGTCGCATGTCCCTCTTCAGCTTATACATAATACAAAATCAGCATGAGTGTATCCTCCCCTTTGTGGTGAGTATATCTATGTTTTTTAATTTATCCTGAAAGTAAATATGAGATTTCTGAAACTGAGATCACAGTTATTATTACAGCAATAAATGTGCCCATTCCCCACACCCAATATCCCACAGGCAATACAATAATAGCCAGATATCATCCTGCACATGGGAGATTTGTATTGTAAGAGAGGAATCCCAAAATTATTAATTTGAGAGTTTAAATAGGCCACATCTTGCCCCTCTACACTCCTGAGAGAGAGAAACCTTGGCACTTACCCTTTGGAATGTAAGCATCTGAACCCTTTCATCATCCCCATTTGAAATCCAAACTTAGGGAGGTAAGTCTCTAAATTTCTTCAGAGGACTCTGGCTATTCAACCACTCTAACTTCCAAGACTTGTCCTTTAATTCAGGTTCTAGTTTTCTTTGCTCAGAAAGCCCATAAGCAGAAATATGAAAAAATTTTCTCTACAGTTCCACACAGGACTCAGGTGAAATGCCCCTTAGGGTTTCAGAAGGCAAAGGCTGGGCCAAGGGTAATGCTTTTACAAAGCTCTTTCACACATAGTTAACTGTCTCTCCTCCTCCTCAAACAAATTCAGATCTTTACTTCCTCCCATATATAAAGTTCAGAATCACAGGGATGGGAAAGAATTGTGAGAGTCTAGTACATCCCTTTCCTCAGGTAGCCTACTACTGGGGTAGTCAGAGAAGGCCTAGTGGAAAATCAGGACCTTCATCCCTACCTGGTAAGAATAAGACTTACCCCCGTTTGTGTTCATAGAAACCATGTGGAAGCCTGGACTCCCACCCCCTTTCCCAACATTAACAAGGTATCTCTGTCTCTCCCTATTGAGGTCAGAAGAGGCAGAGTGGAGGCCATGTGCACAATAAGGTATATTTTTACTTCTAAGGTAGTGTGGTGTCAGTGAAGGCCTAATGGAAAGATAGGATTTTTATGCCTATCTGATGGTACTGAAGCTTCCCCATCCCCAGGGTGTCAGTGGGGTCTGTGTGGGATACCTGAACTTATATCCCCCACTCAGAAATAACAAGGCACCCTACCTTCCTGGGTGCAATGACCAAATAGACTCACACCCCAACCTGCCAATAATGACATGGTAACCTCAATTTCCTAATTGGTATAGTGTCAGAGGAGGCCCACTAAAGCAGAAGATTTAAATAAGATTAGAGCCTTAAAAAATACTAACCAAAATGCCCAGAATACAATAAAAAAATTCATTCATCATTATCAAGAACCAGGAAAAATCTCACCTTGAATGAGAAAACAACAGACACCAACATTGATGTGACATAGATTTTGGAATTCTCCAAAAAAGATTTTGAAGCAGCCATCATAAAAATGCTTCAAAGCAGTTATGAACATGCTTGGAACAAATGAGAAACAAAGTCTCACCAAGGAAAAGAAGTATAAAGAACTACCTAGAAATTTTAGAACTGAAAAATATAATAACGAAAATTTAACAACAAAAATCCTCAATGGATGAGTCTAACAGCAGAATGGAAAGGAGAGAGGGAATAAACAGTGAACTTGAAGCTAAAATATAAATTACCCAAACTGAGCAACAGAGAGAAAATAGACTTTAAAATAAAGTTAACAGGAACTTGTGAAACTATAACAAAAGATCTAGTATTCATGTCATCAGAGTCCAAGAAGAAAGGGGAAAGAGGGTGGGGCCAAAAATATTCAAAGATATAATCACTGAAAATTTCCCGAATTCTGCAAAATTTATAAACCTACAGATTCAAGAGGCTGGTGAATCCCAAATAGGATAAATACAAAGAAATCTGTTCTAAGAAACATCATAATCAAACTTATAAAAAGTAATGACAAACTCTTGAAAGCAGAGCACTGACAGCTTATCAATAAGGAAAAAGCAATCAAGTAATAATAGATATTTTTCAGCAGAAACTCTGGAGGCCAGAGGAAGTATCCCATTTTTAAATGCTAAAAGAAAAAGACTGTTAACCCAAACTCTGTATCCAGTTAGAATATCCTTAAGAAATGAATCAGAAATAAGTGGCTCTATTAATATAAAAAAAAGACTTCAGAACAAAGAATATCAGGTACAGAAAAGGATTTTAGATAATGATAAAGAATCAATCAAAAAAACAATTCTCAGGCAAAAGAAAACTAAGAGAATTTGTCACCAGCAGACCTACCTTAATAGAAAGGCTAAAGGAAGCTCTTAAAAGAGAGAAAATTATAAAAGAAAGAATCTTGAATATCCAAAAGGAAGAAAGAACAATAGAAAGAATAAAATATGAATAAGTTTAAAACTTTCTATTGATTTTCCTTAATTATAATTGATGGTTGAAGCAAAAACTATAACGTCTAATGTGGTTAATGCGTATAAAAGAAATACTTAAAATAATTATAGACAAGGGAGGATAAAGAGACTTAAAGGAAGTTAAGGTTTCTATACTTCACTCAAATGGGTAAAATGTTGACACCAGTAGACTATGCTAAGTATGTATGTATAATATAGCACTTAGAGCAACTACTTAAAAAATTCTATACAAAGAGATATACCCAGGAGTGCCACGGATAAATCAGAATGGAATTCTAAAAATAAATTCAAGCAAATTAAAACCGCAATGAGATATCACCTCACACTAGTAAGGATCACCACCATCCAAAAGACAAACAACAACAAATGTTGGCAAGGTTGTGGAGAAAGGGGAACCCTCCTACACTGCTGGTGGGAACGTAAATTAGTTCAACCATTGTGGAAAGCAGTATGGAGGTTCTCAAAAAGCTCAAAATAGAAATACCATTTGACCCAGGAATCTCACTTGTAGGAATTTACCCCAAGAATACAGCAGCCCAATTTGAAAATGACAGATGCACCCCTATGTTTATTGTAGCACTATTTACAATAGCCAAGAAATGGAAGCAACCTAAATGTCCATCAGTAGATGAATGGATAAAGAAGATGTGGTACATATACACAATGGAATATTACTCAGCCATAAGAAGAAAACAAATACTACCATTTGCAACAACATGGATGGAGCTAGAGGGTATTATGCTCAGTGAAATAAGCCAGGTGGAGAAAGACAAGTACCAAATGNGAGAAGGGGTGGGGGGGAAGAAGAAAGGGGGCTTTATGATTAGCATGTATAATGTGGGGTGTGCAACACAGAGAAGACAAGTAGTGATTTTACAGCATCTTACTATGCTGATGGACAGTGACTAATGGGGTATGTGGGGGGGACTTGGTGAAGTGGGGAGTCTAGTAAACATAATGTTCCTCATGTAATTGTAGATTAATGATACCAAAATAAAAAAAAAATTTTTAATTCAAGTAACCCACAGAAAGATAGGTAAAAGAAACCAGAAAAATGAAAAACTGAGGAAACAAACAGAAAACAACAAATAAATTGGCAGGCTAACATATAATCACATTAAATGTAAATAGTCTATAAATATACCAATTGGTAGATTGGTAGAGTGGGGGAAAAAATGACCCAATTGTATCCTATCTATAAGAAACTAACTTCAACCACAATAAAAGCAGGTTGAAAATAAAAAGATGGAAAAAGATACTCTGATAGCCTTAATCAAAACAAGGCCAAAGTGGCTGTATTAACATCAGATAAAATAGACTTCAGAGCAAAGAATATCAGGCAGGTACAGAGAGAGAGGTATTAGATAATGATAAAATAGTCAATCCAATAAGAAGACATAGAAATCCTAAATGCATACCCACCAAACAACAGAGCTCTGAAATATGTAAAGCAAAAACTGGTAGAACAGAAAAAAAGTAGACAAATCCACGATTATAATTGGAGATTTCAATACCGTTCTCTTGACAATTGATAGAACAACTAGAGAGAAATTCAACAAGGATGTAAAAAAAAATTAGTCAAAAGGATCTAATTGACATATGTAGACTACTCCATCCAACAACAGCACAACACACACTCTTCTCAAGCACCCACAGAGCGTTTATCAAAATAGACATATCCTGGGCCAAAAAAGAAATTTCAATAAATTTGAAAAAATTAAAGTCATACATTACACAGTATGTTCTCTAACAACAATGGGATAACAGAAACATAACAGGAAAATCTCTAAATACTAGGAAACTAACAACACATTTCCAAATTGATGGATCAATAAAGAAATGTCAAGGGAAACTTTTAAAATATATATATTGAATAGAATGAAAGTTAAAATACATTGTCAAAATTTGTAGGATCTAACTTAAGCAGTGCTGAGAGGGATATTTATAGCACTAAATGCTTACATTAGAAAAGGAAAAGTTTCATGTCAGTAATATAAACTCCCATCTCAACAAACTAGAAAAGAAAAAGCAAAATAAACCTAAAGCATTCACAAAATGGGAAATAATAAAGAGCATAAGTCAATGAAATTGAAAACAAAAACAATGATGAAACAAAAGGCTTATTCCTTGAAATTATCGATATGATTGACAACCATCTATCAAAATAGACAAAGAAAAATAGAGAAGATATAAACGCACCAAAAAAAATATGGCAGAGTAGGAAGACAAGGCAGAAACCTCCTCCCGCACACACACCAAGGAAGCAACTACAGCAAATACAACTAAACCTGAAAATGACCTAAAGATGCAGAAGAGACCACCTATACATGGTGAAGAACAGAAGACACACAGAGAAGGGTAAAGTGACAGAGCCATGATCAATCTGGACCCCAGCCCTTCCTCAGTCCCAGCCCCCAAGTGAGAGGAAGAGGAATGGTGTGGGGATGGGATAGGTGCTCAAAAACTCTGCACATTTGGCCCTAGAGATCTTCTCTGGGAACGTGAGTCCACATTGCATTGGGTTCTCGTGTTTAGTGGGGCCAGACACCAGGGAGAGTTGGAGCACTCTGGAAGGCTGAGGCTCCAAATGTTGTGGAGGACAGGCGCACTCTACTAGTCCTACTTATAACCAAAGGAGAAGCAGCAATTTGAAAGATTTGCCAGCTGCAGGAGGAGTGTCATAGGGACAAGGGTTGAGCTA